TATATATATATATATATATATATATATATATGTGTGTGGGGTGTATATACAGGGCTGAGCCGTGTATTGTTTGCTGCTGCACTGACATGCAGGGGATCGCGTCTCCCGGGGTGTATATATGCGGGAGGAGACAGCTGGCATCTGCAGCGTTTAGAGTTTATAGGAGACAGTATATTAGGTTATATAATAACAACATATTTATTTATAAAAAATATAAAACTACAAACAGAGGGACAACTGACACACTATAAAGCTAAACTTGTATCCAATCAATACCTTATACACACAAACATAAAATATAAATTATTTTCTTCTCTTCTCTCAGCCCCCTTCACCCCCCACACAAACCTCACTCAACACAGAACACAAACCATACACCATAAAACACTAGCAGACACCATAGAGGCACAGATCGCAGCTATCTACCTCTCCAATACACATCTATTCAGGGGCCCCCACAAGGGGCCCCAGGGGGCCCAGGGGCCCCAGGGGGCCCCGCGGCCCCATGGGGCCCAGGGGGGCCAGGGGGCCCAGGGGGCCCAGGGGGCCCAGGGGGGCCAGGGGGCCCAGGGGGCCCCCCCCGGAGAGCCCACCCACACGCCAGCAACGGGGGGGCCCCCAGCAGCAGAGGGGCCCCCCTCATCTGACGGGGGCCCCTCACTTTGTAGGGGCCCCATGCTTGAGGGGGGCCCCTCACCTGAGGGGCCCCTGGGTTCGTTTGGGGGTGTTATCGCTGCTGCTGCGTTTATTGACCAGTTTGTAGTCAGGGGGGCCCCCACAGAAACTAGCAGGGGGGCCCCTGGTGGCTGTGATGAGGGGCCCCCTTGTTGCTGTGACGAGGGGGCCCCTGGTGGGTATGAGGGGGGGGCCCCTGAGGAGACAGATGGTGTGGGGGGGGAGGAGACAGCTGGGGCGTTGTCTGTAGTGAATGTGTTGACTTCTGCTGCTGCTGTTTGTGCTGCTGTTTGCGGCATTGAGAGAGGGGATGGGGGCCCCCAAGGAGACAAAGAAAATACAAAAGAAACAGAAAAAAAAAAAGAGATTACAGCAGCACAGCTGCTGTCTCTTCCTCTTGCTGCTGCAGCACCAGACGCACCGCTACACCCCTACCCCTCAGTTGTCTCTCTGCTGCTGCTGCTGCTCAAGGGAACCCCACCAGAACCACAAGCAGCAGCAGCAGCAGCAGCAGCAACAGAAGCAGCAGCAACGCCAGCAACAGCAACAGCAACAGCAGCAGCAGCAGCAACAGCAGCAGCAGCAGCAGCTCCCCCCGTCTCTCCTGCTGCTGCTCCAGCATCTACTTCTCCTCCTTATGTGTCTCCTCCTTGGGGGGCCCCCCATGAAACCCCACTGCCTGAAGGCAAGGCCTCGCACGCTGCTGTCTCTGACATGTGGCTGGCTCCTGCAAGGGGCCCCAACAGGGGCCCCCGTAGGGGCCCCCCTAGGGGCCCCCAGGGCCCCCTGAGCCCCGCGAAGGGCCCCGAGGGGGGCCCCCAAGGAAGCCCCCAGGGGGGCCCCCAAGGAAGCTCCCAGGGGGGCCCCCAGGGCGGCCCACAGGGGGGCCCACAGGGGGGCCCCACGGGGGGCCCCCAGGGGGCCCCCTTGATGGGTGGTGGGGGTGAGGCAGCTGCTGAGACAGAGGAGAGAAGGGGCGGTGGTGCAGCAGCATCTTTCTGGATGGATAGAGGGATGCCGGATGCTCTTGTTTGCCGCGCGAGGACAGCACAAGTAAGAGGGTTGTTGTGTGTTTATTGGTGGGGTTGGTGGTGGTGGTGGTTGTTGTGGGGGGTTTAGGGTTTAGGGTTTAGGGTTTAGGGTTTAAGGTTTAGGGTTTAGGGTTTAGAAACCCTAAACCCTAAACCCTAAACCCCCAGGATTTTCAGTTTAATATAGATATATCTGTCTCCTGTTTGTGTCTCCTTTTTCTTGCTTTTGTCTCTTCTCTGTTGTCTCCTGTCTCCTCTCTCTACTCTCTATCTCCTCTCATCTGTCTCCTCTATCTATATATATATAT